CCCAGTGGCCGATTGCCAACTGGGGGGAGGGGGGGGTCCCCCAGTAGCTGATTGCCGAGCCCAAAATCATCACCAGTGAAACCAGAAGTATACTTCCACCAGCACTTCTGGTTTCACGGTTGGTGTTTCCAGGGAGTGCTCAGCCAATCTCAGTGCACCCGCTATGCATCACCAATGGGTACAAGAGAAAACAAAGCTAGTCATAGAGCAGAACCAGAAATACCTTAAGTATCACACCATCAAAAGTCACATTATTCAGTCCTTGGCTTGGAGCTTCTACTATAATTAGTGAGTCATTTCTATAAACGTTAATGTTTTCTGAAAAAACATAGGTCAACATTTAGACATTTTAACTTTAAAATAAAAAAAAATAGTTTCTGAACTCATGTAACCAATCATTAAGTGTAATTTACAATGACTACTTTCTCTTTCACTCTGAAGACATTTTTTGCCAAAGAAGAGATTTTTCTTTACATTTGAAAATTTTTCTACGATTGAACAATACAGCTGGCACTGACTTTTCTTTTCTGTACGAGAAAGGGCTTAGTGGCAAATCAGTTAAAGTGCTTCTCTGTGGCTGTAAAACAGTGAGTTTAAACTGAGACTCATGCTGAAGGCTGTCCCTGCTGACCCATTTGACCCCACCTGGTCACTGAGGAGGTGGGGGTGGGAGAGTTAGAGGTGATTTGGGCCAGGTACAGACATTACACTTTTACCACTACAAGCAATCAGAAACTGGTCTCTACCCATAATGGAACAGAAGTTCGACCTACACAGAATGGTTTAAAAACAGTGGAACCCAGTCTAAGATCCCTTCCCCCTCCCCCCGCCAAACGGTGAATATATGTTCTGTTTGCTATCAATCTAAACTATGCCACTTACAGAGAACCGCATAACTTGGATCAATTCCACCTTGGGCTTTTTAAATATCTGTACCTAACTTGGATGTGACAGCCAAATCACTAGCTCTAGAAAGTGGGTTTCCTTAACCATGCTATTGTGATAGGCTGTTAGGTTTGGGATGAAACATTATGCTCTATAAACAACTAGGACTGAAGATCTGGCCCCAGAGAGCATGCTTCTAATATGGTGGTTATCATTATGGTATTTGAACACCTACTAGTTCAAAATAGTGAATCAGTTTAATTGAGATGATTAAGGTGTGTGCTTTACATGTAACATACAGTACCTTCTGTGTTTTCATACTCATCACTGTCTGTTAGTATGGGATCGTTGTTGTATGACACAAGGAGAGAGGAAGATTCTGAAGGATAGATTGTGATGTTTCTTGAAAAAAGAAAACAACATGTTTGCTGTACTAGAAGGTATGAAACATTGACAAACTATCAAATCTAGCAGAGAACCAGGCTCAGAATTCAATCTTTAAAAGTGTCCCTTTCTTTCAAGACTTCCATAGGGGCTGGATTTACAGTTGTAGTATAATCCACATAGACAAATGGGAAAGGAGGAAAAGGGCAGATTTCCAGGAGTTGGTGATGAGATAAGGCCCAAGAAATGGAACAGTTAGATAACAGGGTAAGAGCCAGAAGAGTTTTTCTTTCTCTGGTTCTAATTTTTTTTTCTCTTTGTAACAAAATTTCAACAAATGGCTAGATCCATAAAGGGATTTTTATGACATGATGCTGAGTGACACAATGCCTAACTTGCAGGTCCCTGGCTCTTGGATTGTAATCCACAACCCTGCGTTAAGTGCCCAAGCTGTCTTTACAGTGCTTGAGTAGAGTTTGGTGCTTCAGAATGGGATTCACAGCAGCGGGCACTGTGGCCAAGAGGAAATGCTGAGAATACCAGTGACTTTTAAGTCCTGTTTCTAACTGGAAGTTAGGTGGCTTTCTCTGGATTGCAGAGAGGTGCCAATGTTAGATTACAATTCACAGCTCAGAATCCTATGGTCTATGGGTCTGTGACTTGTCCTGTCAAAACAGAGATAGGACCACACAGCTGAAGAAGAAGGTAGGGGCAGTGGATCCTCTAAATCAATAGGTCTGTGGCTAGAGCACTTGCCCAAATATAGGCTCTACAGGTTCAGTACTGACTCAAACCCTTTTGTATACTGCCCCTACCATCAAGCCTGGAATACAAATGCTCTCCACCTTTCCTTTTGAAACTGGTCCACCTTTTCAAAAAGAATTAAAGATTTATTGGCCAGAGAGGGGGAGTATGACTAATCTAACATGCAGCTCCAGAGATTGTGTAGGACTTTATTCAACTCCTGTTGATCAGTGTGTTTATCCAATGACTCTCAAGCACACTGGAGACTGATATTTCAAGAGCACCTTCAGTGGAATACCCTAGAAAAAGCCCACCTATGTACTTGCAGGTTTGAAGTGTGCCAGACCTTCACCCAACCAGAGCTAAGAGCTCACTTCTCATTGGCAGCAAAACTGAAGATGTAGGAGGGGGCTGGCAGTCACTGCCAGTAGCTCTCCAGCTCTCCTTGCTGGTAAATGCTGGCAGAGCAAATTCACTGGGCACTGTTTCCCTCTTTGGATAACTTGTGCTATGGACATGAGGCAAGTCACATGGCATAATGTTACCCATTGCTTGATGGAAATAACGTATGCCAAGGGCCTTAATGTAACCAAGGTCCTCCTTGAAGTGCCTTTTGTGACTGCCCAAGATTCTACATAGACTCTTGGGGCTTATGGGTAATTGCACTTACGACGAGCTCATATTGATGTAAACCTCCCTTGAGAAAGAGCTGGGATCAGCTGTCTTTGTAAACACTATGAATTTGGGATGAGCAGTGCAGTCCTGAGCCACAATGAGGTTGCAGCTCTTGTTGAAGGAACAGCTGTGCTTCACTTTGTCAAATGTTTTGAAATCATCTTCACGCAGTTCACATGTGGCTGAAAAACAACAATGAAAATAAATTTCATATGAGACAATACCATGTTGGTAGCTGTAAAGTTCTTGGAGACTGCCTAAGAGGCCTGAATAGCCGGGAATTTCAAATCGACAGCTCTAAAACTCCTAGGCAGCTTTCAAAATCTTAACCTAAATATATATTTACAGAAAGGCAGGGCAGCAACAGAAAATGATGAGTAAGCAGGTTGTATATCCAGCACTTTGTTTAATTGTACTTTGCAAAACCAACCCCTTAGTGACAGCAACCAAGTTTTCAAAATTAGATTGTATCAAACTTCTGAGAAATTAAAAGCTGAAACCACTGTAAAACTGGCTGTCATTTCTCAAAATCATGCAACTGTTTGTAGTATGTGTCATTTAAGTTTGACATGTCACCTAGCTAAAAATCACAAAATGAGGAACATAAAGAGGGTAGGAAACTCATATTTCTGTCCCATATCCACCATCTCATGCGGTATGCTTGACAGTCCCTTACAAGCGGTAAGGGACAGATCTTATACTTAGGATCTCTGCCAAGTTATAGCTGCCATGTAAAGTTGAAGTCCTTTCAGGCAGAATCCAGTAAGACTGCTGCCAAACAAGGAGTGGGCTGTGGAAAAGGCAATTCTTTTGGGAAGGGTAAGGATTATCATGGTTCTCCAAAAAAGTACTGCTAAGAAAGTCAAAAGCCGAAGATGACAGGAAATAGAGCCGCAGGTGGGGCTAAATATGTTATGGATAATCACTGCTCTTTTACCAGGTACAAGACCAAATACATGTGCAGTCATAGAGTCATGGAACAACAGGGCTACGAGGGACATCTGAACGCCATGTTGTCCTATCCTCTGCTCAAAGCAGGATCATCACCATCTGCTCCACTCCAGACAAGTGTTTATAATAAGAATTTTACCTTGATCTTCTTGAGCAATCCGTGAAGCTATTTCTGGAAGGACATTCCACGAGGTAATTTCTGGAGTCTGATAAGGTAGATATGGCCCTACAGGCAAAGCAAATGGAATCGGGAAACCCTGATAGTAAAGGGTTGCCTGAAACAGAAGTAAATTAAAATATGACATATTCAATAGTATAATTTAAAATCTCCATTTTGTCAGTCATACCGACAAACAGTCTCCTAATAAACATATTTTAACTATGTATTTATGCATTTGGAGTGTTTGCGGTTGATAGTGTATGCCCCAAACATAGAATATATTTTATGAGGGACCATTATCTTCGATTTTATTATGACTTCTATGCCATCTTGAGAATTTAGTTTTACATTCAATGATGTGGGATATTAATGTGTGTGAATGTTATTTAAGATACTATTGTGTGACTTCCTTAAAGCAAACAAAGAAACTTGCCAGCTAGTTAAGTAAGTTAGAGGCTGAATTAGTATAGCTGACTAAATTGAATATATTATCATACAGTCTAATAGGCTAAATATTGGTGTGATGTGATTTTGGCTGAGTTCCCCAACACAAAGGATACTTTGTATTAAGTACACATTAAACATACTTAAATAAACAGACAGAAGCCTAATACACCCACTCTCTCATTTTCACATATGAAAGGCTCTGCAATATTAGGGCACAAGGGAAGCTAAGGACATACCTACTTCCTTATTTATGAACAGCCAAGCTGTTATTCATTTAAATCAGACCCACAAGGGGAAACTTTTCAAAAAAGTCCACAGGGATTTGGTGGACAAGGAACAATTAATCAAAGGGATTCTGCAGACTAAATCCAGGCAGGCTCCTTGGAAAATTTAACCTTTCTTATTTGGTCAATGGAGTGCTGCTTTTGTGGTTATTACAGAACTTGATCCTATATCCCTCGTGCAGTGCACTGCACAGAATAGATGTTACATATAGGTGCAAGTAAGAGTCAGCTCTAAGTGGACTGTTCCCCATGCATCTTGTGTAAGCCTCAAGACCATCTTATGCACCTTACTCTTGAGATCTCTTCATAAAATCAACTAAAGTTAGAGTCCAGAATGACTATCAGAGTAATTAGAGGCGTTAGGGTAATCCTCAGCATGCAAATAAAGTATTTTGCTAGGGGCTCCCCTTTTGGCCTTACTCTGCTACTAGACAGGACTGACTTGGTGGCTTTGCATCAATTTTTTTCAATATTAGAGCATCAGGTTTCCAAGCACTTTTTATCCTGCTGATCACTTTTTATCCTCAGCTTATTGGTATACTGAACCCAAGCTGTGCAGAATCAAGCTCTGTATGTTCAGGAATCTAGAGTAGTTTGTATCGGAGATAATGTTCTACTTTTTTTTACCTTTCTCAGATTTAGTGTAAATTTATGTACCAAGAAAAAGTACATTAGAGAAAAAGAATAAAACCACACATACCCCTGGAGCTTTAATAACTGCGTCAATTGTTCGTAGAGATGTTGCAGCTGCCCTTAGGACAAGCTCACGTGATGGATTTCTCTGATCTGCTTGTGAGAATCCCAACATGAATGCTACACCAGGAACATAGTCTGTAACCCTAAGGAGAAATGAGTCATGACTTACTCAGAAGTATAGCTGTGAAAATAACTGATTTTGGGGGGTGGCTGGCAGCTCTGAGAAATCAAAAAAAGAAGACAGTGAATTGAGAATTAAAAAAATATATAGATAGCTGTTTAGGATCAAACAAAATGTTGAATTAATCTTGTATTTATTTTGACCATCTTAATTGTTTTAATATTTAAGATATAAGTTAAAAAATTAAACAATTTAGTTTTGAAAACATTGTAATAACATATTTTTTATTTGTGTTGGGGTGAGAGGCAAGGATTTTGTACAGCGATATCTTTTACTAGACCAACTATATAGTAGGGATCAAGTTAGAGAAACTTTTGGGTGCAAGGCATTCTTCCTCATGTTTCTGATCACAGCCTAGCGAAAATCAGCTGGGGGAGGGGGTGAGAGAAATTCTCAGGGTAGCAGATACACAATTAATGGAAGACGGGAGGTTGGATTATTTGATATTTTTGAATTGTTTTACTTGTTTTCAGTGCAAACGATACAGTGAAACTAAAAGCAAATTTGTGAAATATTTTAGCTTTGTTGAATCTACATTTTTTCAGCAAAAATTTATTATAGCTGAGGTTTTCAACTAGTTCCACCAAAAACCTTCAGGTCATCAAGCAGAGTCACATAAGTAACAAAATAAATGACAAGCTAAGAAACTACTTACATTACGGATGTCCTCCTTATCCAGGATGGAAGCTTTGTCCATGCCATCTTCAACTGTATTGCTGGATTCCTTGCCAGCTGGCCTGTGGAAGCCCTTGCCTCAATTTTATAGTCCCGACATTGCTTGCCCCATCTCAACCTTGCCTTTGTGAAGAAAGGAAATATTCATTAGCATTTCAGAAATGGAATCAGGGTATAACTATCTGTTATATCAAAGTATGACTTGTTCTTGTCTTTATGAAACTTCAAAACAGTCCCCATTGCGTCTAGCCCATAGCAGAGGAAATCTAGCTACCTTTGGAGCAGAACAGGGGTGAGACGTGAGGGAAAAGGCTAAGCTGCCTTTCCTTTTAGGAAAGGAATAAGCTTTTCCTTTTCTGATTTTCAAAACAAGCACTGAATTATGATATAAAATGTTGCAGGGATAGATTGCTGGGATCCATTACATTTGGCAACATTATCTTTGGTTGAATATTTAAAAAAAGAAATAGTTCACTCATTTTACAGCTTCACAGCTGTCTTTGCAAAATGCCTGGTCGTGCGAAGAGAAGCAGTTTTTACTACTGAGATTTCTGAGGGAATTTTGGAAATGAACAATATGAAAAATAGAGGTCTCTAAATCACTACATCCACAGAACACTTTGCTGGTTTCCTTAACGGAGATAGATGTACAGGAGTGTGGAAGAGAGACTTGAATACAGAGGCTGCAAACAGAGTCCTGTCTAATGCAGTTAACGAATTATAAGAAATAACCTTGAAAAAGAAATGATCTGACATGTATAAGAAGGAGAGGAATGGACCAGATCTGTAGCTGGTAGAAATTGGTAATAAGGCAGGTCAAAACTTTTCCAAATGTTTCAAAACCTTTACAAACAACTTTGAAAATATTTGTATTTTTGTGATGATTCATCAAACAGCTTGTAGTGCAGCTGAATGTTTTAAAAAAATCAAAATGTTGCTGATAACACATATAAAATGATTCAGGAAAATGTATCCTTATTGTTAGGCAATTTCTTCATTTGTATAGCACTTTGTAGTTAATTTATACAACCCTTATCCATTTAAAGCTTTTATTGGTGGAATTAGCTGTTTACCTGTGCTTTCAGAGGTAAGACTACAGCATCAGCACAAGCTTTCCAGTTAGATTCAGCGAGCTGAACCACAACTATCTGCAGGTCAACTTTGTCAGCACCAGAATTCATGTATGCTGTGGCTTGATAACCTTGATTTTTGTTGTCACTTCTAACAGCACGAACCACAATGGTGAAGCCTGGTGGCATTCTCTCTCCCAGGAAGGTACGCTGAAAAATAAAAAATGCATATGCATTTACTGTTGAACCCTGGCCTTACTTCGCACTGTGCTTTTCAGTATGATAGAGCCTTGGATGGTTCAGAATGAAAATATTTCCTGACTCCTATCATTATATCAGAGTAAGTTATGGTGGTTTGTTTCTTTTTTTTTAGTTTTAGTTTAATCGAGACGCTAATCGAGTGGCCTTTTACGACCAGGTCATTAAATCATTGGATGCAGGGGTGGCAGTGGATATAGTTTTCCTGGACTTCAGGAAGGCTTTTGACACTGTCTCTCACCCCATTCTCATTAGGAAGCTGGGGGACTGTGGCGTAGACACCCATACAGTCCAATGGGTCGCCAACTGGTTAGAGAGTCGCACCCAGAGGGTGGTAGTGGATGGGTCCTTCTCGA